CATTCCTATTATCTTCCTAAGCACCACTTTGTAACATTTGGCTGCATTAAACTCACAACCAGGAAAATGAAATTTATTTAGAAGGCACAGGTATTTCACACTAAGGTTAGCCGATGTTGCTCTAAATTTACCAACAGCTCATTTTTGTTGTTGGTTGGGTTGTAAATCTTTGACAGAAGCAAGGAAGTGAAACGCTCCAGGCTGTAAACTTTATCTTATTGGCAAAATGTCTATTATGCAGCTAAAAACATCTAGTTAATAGGCATTGCCCTCCATCAACTGGTAATACCAGAATCCTGGATGGGGCTAATGATGACATTATATATCTTTTCTCACCCATGAGTTCTTTGTATAATCCATCCTAGGATGTGCTTTTCTCCTAGCCCCCCAGATGCTAAGATGGACAGGTGCACCGTTCTGACAGCATGCCACCACTGAAATCACTGGGGGTCTGCTTCTGATTTTCCTTCAGAGGATTCTACCTGTATTTTAGGATCCCCACTCTTCATTGTAAGAGGAACATATGGTTTGAGGAAATAGAAAAAAAATCATAGAAAGCTAAGTCTCACGGACAAGTTGCTGATTAGACCAGCTGATCCCGACTGGCTCATTCATCAAACATTGACTGGGTGTACCTGCTAGCCCAGGCTGGGAGTGAGGGACTGAGCAAACACAGCTTCATTCCTCTGAGTGAGTGCTGACATCTTAAAGCCGCAGAAGCATTTCTGGAACAAGCAAACCACCTCCCCAGGGAACCCAGTTAGAACAGACAGCACTCATGACAATGCATGATTGGGGACATTTGTTTAAAATTACTCCCATCCTTTCTTCCCTGAAGATTTGATGACAAGTCAGGTCTGTCACTTTAAGAAACTGCTGCTTATTATCCTAAATCCTGTAGAGATTTTGGATCAGGTATAGGAAATTTTCACAAGAACCCAAATTTCACGTCGATTTGTGATGGATTAGCACACTGAAATTGGCTTAAAGTGCACTTAATGGATGCATTACTGCAGGAGGGATCCGCCTAACCAGAGTATTTCTAAATTTATGAAATTGAAATGCACTTCAGGTTACTGAGCAGTCTAAATTTGTCAAAGTCATAGAGTAAGAGGCAGGCCTTTGCCAGTGGTAGAGGTGGCAGGCATCTGAAGCCAGGGCTGCCAAATTGAATTGAGAGCCTGCACAATGACTCCTGGGAACCCTCTGTGCCCAGGTGTTATCCTTTTTATGATAGAGCAGAACCAGGCACTGTGAGCCTTAGTGTTTCCTGTGCCCCAGCAAGTGCGAGACACAGTACAGTATGAGCTGAGTTTGCCGCTCCGTCCTCTCAACTGCCCCACAGCACACCACCCACCATTAACTCTGACTTCATCGGTACTGAGAACAGTGGTGCTGCAGACGTGGCCTTTGCTTTTGGCTGAATGTCTCTGAGCCTCCATCTCTTGGCCTGAGAAGTGACCTGAGAAAGCTGCTGTGAAGGCCTAGTGTTGGAACAGGGGAAAGCACATCACAGACAGCCCAGCAAGGTGAAGCTCTGTTGGTCGTCCCTTTCCTGGGGAGGGGACTGGATCTTAGTTTTCTTCCTGGTTCCAAATTCAGTCCAGCATGTGACACAGAGCAGATGTTCAGAGAACGTCTGCTGAATGAACGAGTGAGTGAATGGGGTTTGGAGGATCACGGTGAGCCCTCAGTCTTCCACTTTCCCCACATCCTTGCACTTCTTATAAAATCTTTTTTAAAAAAAATGTATTTAGTACAGGGTCTACAGGGTCTCACTACACAGATAGGACTCATAGTGATTCTCCTGTTTTCAGCCTCCCAAGCACTGGGATTACAGGTGCGCCTCCACGCCCACTCTCAATCCCCCCAAGAGCTGGGATTACAGGTGCGCCTCCATGCCCAGTCTCAATCACCATCAGTGCGTCCCGGAGGCGGGGCCATTATGGCATGCTGGGGATTGAAACCAGGCCACTGTGCTCTGCCTAAGCAGGCACTTTAGTCTGCTGAGCTATCTGGCCGGCCCTCTTCTAAAATCTTTATTCACTTTCATTGATTAATTGATTAATTTAATTGATTAACAAACATGTGACTATTATGTGCAAAACTACAATAATGATAATGTCTGATAATAAATAATATTTGAAGCCCTTATTTTGGACCCAATATTAAGCTTAGTATTTTCAAATATTAATAATTTATCTTCACCTCACCCCACTGAGGTACTATGTCGGTCAGCTACTGCCATAAAAATCCTGTGTAACAAAATGAGTGACTTCCAATCATAAGCCTTCTTCCACCCTTGTTTCTGTGTGTGGGGGTCAGCTGAGGTGGCTCTCTGAGTCCAGCTGTAAGTGGGGTGACTTGGCTCCAAGGGTGTTCATTCAGGAACTTTGTTGGTAGGGCAGCTGCTACTCAGGATGTTGGGCCACCCAATCACAGGAGAGCAAGGCCTCCCAAGTGCATTTCAAGCTTCTCATCCGGTTACATTCCCTGATGTCGCACTGTCTAAAAGCAAGTCCGAAGTCAAGGAATAGAGAAGTGCGATTTGCATGCTATGAGGCTTTGACAAGGATACCGATGTGTAACACTGCCGCTATGGGTTGAGTGTGCCCCCTAAGGGTTCATGTGTCAAAATTTAATTTCCATTGTAAAGTATGAAGAGATCGAAAATTTAATTCAACTATAGTGTGCAGAGGCAGAGCCTTTGGGAAGTGATTAGAATTAGAGGGCCCTTGGTTGAATAATTACAGCTTTGTAAAAGAGGGAATAAAAGCAAAAGGCACACATAGATGCTCTTGGCCTCTTGTCATGTGATGCCACCCTGCTACTCTGCCAGTAAGAAGGCCATCACCAGAGATGGGTACTTGAGTCTTTAGGACTATTGAGCTTCATAAGACTCTTCTCTTTTAAAGTTATTTTGTTATAGTTAGTGCAGAACAGACTAATAAAACTACCAGGAGAGAAGGAAGAGCTGAGATCAATGTACCACCAGCAGGTGCTACTGTAAGGCTCAAGAGGGCACAGAAATGACTTACCTACCCGAGGTTGTCCAGCTAGCAGGTGACAGAAGTAGGCTTTGCACCTAGGCAGCATAACTTCACAGCGAAAGAGGCCTAAGGGCCTCAGGGTGCACCTCTGGGGAGGAGATGCTTGTTTCTTAAGCATCTGCATTTTTCTTTCACTCATGAAATGCCAGTGCCCTGCCAGCATCAGTCTCTCATGGGTACACATCCAGCCACTCATTTATCCGTGCCCAGTATTGGTGTGTTCTTCCAGCTATCCAGAACAACAGGCAACTCTTGGATAATTTTTGCAATCAATGTTCAGGGGGAAAAAAAATCACCCTCCAGTTAACCTTAAGCACATGTCTAAATACCTTTGGAAAGTCCCTGATGGCGTTCATATCAAAGCTGCACCGTGATTTTACTTAAAAACAATTTGCTCCATGTCAGCGGTGATTTCTGACACCTGAATCTGAAAGTCATCCGGGTGGGCCCAGCGCCATCTCCATAATAAGGCATGTGTTACTTGGAGGGAAGAGAGGAAAGGCCGCTGTAAGTGTGGCCGGGAATAATGTTCCACACACGCTTACGGGAGGGGATTTCCTTCTTGCTGTTTCCATAGAACCTTCCCTGTGTTTGCTTAAACTCATTGTACACTCTGGTCTGACAGCTGCCTGGCCCACGGCCTCCCCTGCAGACGCCTGCACAACTCACCCTCTTTAACAGCAACCTGCACTGTATCCTCTGATGCAATTACTCGAGTATATAAACCTCACTGAAAGGCTGGCTTTTCTTGGGAGCTAATAAATAAGCCCAAAGCCACAACGTGTATAAGGCCTTGAAAAATGGCATCATCATCTATTGGGAATTGTGAACCCTGCAGAAAGCAGCTCATTGTATTTTTAGAAAAAAAGATTTTTTGTTTAAAAATATAATAAAGAACGAAAGTCACCAAGCAGAGTCTATATGGAAAAAGCAACCTAGTCTGAGATTCTAGGGCTGGTCTCATTGCTGCATTAATCTTTCCTTGCAGATTTTATGTAAGAGGCATTATTTGCAGGAAAACAAGACAGGGTTTTAAAGAACTCCCTCTCATCCTGGGTTCCCATCTGCAGTTATAATCCTCTGATTGTGACCTCTGAATCAGTTGCCATGGATGCTGAGCAGAAGTTTATGACCTCAGGGTGGTAATAGCATGGGGGGGGGATGAAGCCTTAAGCAATAAAGAAAAAAAAGGGGGGGGAAGGCTCTGCTAGGACTCATCTTTCACCCATGTGTTGGCACTACAGTTTAGGAACCACTTTCCTGGTTGCTTTGAGAAACAGCACTGGATGCTGGCCACAGGGAACACGGGCAGGTCAAAGACTGCGGATTCTTTTTTTGTCCCTTGGACCTCATTTCCTAAGAGACTGGGTTTGGTGTTCTAGTCGCCCTCCTGAGAGTCTCACAGAGTTTCAGGTGTCTTTGCTTTCTTTTCATTAACTGATACTGGGGTGGGGTGGGGTGGGGTTGATTAATGGAGCAGGCTCCTTGATCTGGGGCTGCTTAGGGGGTTCCCTGGAGCAGCTTCCTTCGGGCCCCTGCGGCAGGCAGCGTAGCTTGGTTGGCAAGCAATGTCGCTTGCTAGCTAGCTTGCTTGCTTGCTCGGAGTCCCGCAGAACCTTACCTCCCTGAAGAAGCAAACACCCTGGGCAGAGGAACCCAGGCCGGGCTTCGCAGGATGCAAAAATACAACAGAGGGCGCCGAACCCACCAGCACCATGGCCTAGAATATCAATGTATGGGCTGGCTCCAAACCGCCAAGTTCTTTCAAAAAATGTCCTTGGCAGGGGGTCGCTGCCAGACTCACGGGGTTTCGGTTTGCTCCTTTGGAATCCGCGCATCACACAAACAATGTTTACTTGGAAGAGGAGGGGGCGGAGACCAAACCCACCGCTTGGCGCACACGCCTTGATCTCACATTCCAGACTAGAGCTGATGGGTGTCAGCGCGACATGGGGCGGGGGGAGGGTTCTGCTGGGAGGTTTCATTCGCCATCTGCACGTCACTCCCAAACTTTTCCTCCCTGCACTCGGGGAATCAGGTTGATGCGCCCTGGATGCGGGGCACGCGGCGCGGACTGGGCGCGCTCCCGCCGAGCCCGAGCTGCGGAGGCTTCCGGGCTGGGCTCGGGGTTTTCAGGTACAAGTTGGGTGCCAGGTGCTGCGGTGGGAGCGGCAAGGAGCTGCCAGTGGAGGTCTGGCTCCGGGCTCCAATGCCCCTCTGCGGGTTGCGGTCGGGTAGCGCCGGCGGCGGCCTGGGTTGGGCGATATGAGTCCGGGCGGCCGAGGCTGCGCGCAGCCTCACTCCCAGCGGCTCTCCCGGTGCGGAGGCGGCGGCGGCCCGGGCAGACAATGAACTTAGAGCACGCCGAGCCCAGGCAGGTTTGGGCCCCGTGCCCCGGGTGCAGCCTCGCCAAGGCTTCCAGGACCCCTAATCGGGAGGTACTCTGTTCTGACTGGCTTGTCCTGGTCGCGCTCCAAGCATCTAGCGCTTTGGGAGACCCTGCAGCATGGGTTTCCCGGCGACGTCGTTGGGGCTCACACGCCCCCTCCCTAGCTTGAGAGAATGTGGCCAGAGCTGGGGGACTGGGCGCCGGGCGGCGCGGTGGTGGCGCTGTGGACCGCTGGAGGCCGGCGGTCCAGCAGAACCACCCCAGAAGTAGGAATCCGAGTGTCCCTGTGCCGCGCAGCTCCGGGAGCTGCAGACAGAGGACCGACGGACAGGCAGCGCAGAGCTTTTACGGTGTGAGCGCGCTGTGGGTAGAGTGGTGGGAAGGGATTCCCCGGGCGGTGCGCTGCGCACCCTACCCCGGCACACTTCGGGGAAGTTTCCAGGAGCGGCCCGGGGCAGGTAGGTGGGCATTTGCCTCTCTCTTGCAGGGCTCCGGCTCCGACCCGCAGCTCTAGCCCCGCGGCGGTTCCACGCGGCAAAGCTGGGGGATGGATGGGTCTCAGGCCCTGATGCTCTGTGACCCGTTGCCGGAGCAGTGAGGTCGGCCCTAGGAGGAGAGCCGGGCGCGGCCGAGCCCCCGGCGGCCAGAACTTTTGCTCCCCGCCTTTTGCTCCCCGCCCTCGGCCCCTCCCCACGCCCGCCGAGCCTCGGGAGGCGGCGTGACTCGGGAGTTGCCGGCGCTTCTCCGCGGCGTCCCCGGGCCAGTCTGGGTGCGGCGGAGCGAGCGAGGCAGGTCTGAACTGCGCTGTGGGGCGGCAGCGGGGAGCCGGGGCTGCGGGCGGCCGGGCTGGAGGGAGCCGACAAGGCAGCGACTCCGGCGCGGGTTTTCGGGGGGTGGGGTGGGGGACACAGTTGGTCGCGGTGGGGTGCGATCTGTTGTGCTGTGTGCGGGTGGAGACTACGTGGTGGCTGTGGGAGGCTAGTGGCGGTCGTGGCGTGATTAGCCTGGTGGAGCCCTCTCGGGTCGCTCATGGAGGCGCGGGGGCGAAGGGAACCTCGGGAGGAATGAATGAAGAGCTGTGGAAGCGCCTTCCGACTCGGGCTAGGGGATTGGACGCCCTGCAGGCGCGCGTGTGTGCGTGTTTAGGCTTCCGAGCCTCCTGGGTCCCTGGGTACCGCTGATTGTCTGTTGGCGCCCCGCGTGCCCACGTTGCCCTCAGGTCTTCTGGTCCCTGGCTCTGAACGTGGCTGGAGCGGCGGTACGGACGCCACCCAAGGCTGGGGCTCGGTTGCCGGCTGCTGGCGGCGACTGGAGAAAGGTTCTCGGGAAGGAGGCGGCAAGGCAGGGGCCTACAACAGCTCGCGGTGCCCCCGCCCGTCTTGTATCAACTGCGGTTCCTTAAAAGTGTGGAATGCCTTGCTGGATTAGGGTAGCTACCCAAAAAGGCGTTGTAGGACATTTGCACTCCCAGAGGTTGCCCAGGATGAAACCCAGCCTTAGATTTCATGATGAAATTCGCGCGAAGTTTCTCTTGGATCATCCTGCACCGTCCTCCCTTCAGAGCTTTTCTACCACCCCCACCTGAAATGTTGCAAAATCAGAATCCCTTCCTTTGAGAACATGACGTTTGTTGATTTTGCAAAATGTGTGTTGAATCAGAATCTCTTGATTGATACATAAAGATACACACACCCTACATAATTTTGCTCAAATAGCGTGGGAATAAAATTATCTTTTAGTTTATGCCAAATGAACTTTTCTCCACCAAAGCTGATGAAAGACCAGGAGGAAGGTTATTCTTTTACCACTTCCTAGGTGGGGAAACTGAGCCAGGAGGTGAAGTGGCTTGCTATGGCCTCCCTGGTAGGGCTTTAGGGAGCAGGGCATGGAGCTGCAGGACCAGCTTGTTCTTCCTACCTAGCTCTCCAAGGAGCCCCCTTAGAGCTGATGAAAATGAGAGACTACAACAGTGTTGAACGTGCGAGGGGGCTCCTGTGGCATCAAGTCTTCTGGGTGTCGTGAGGGTCTGGGAAGGCTGATCTGCTTTGCCTTCCATTGATAACTAGAGCATAGGATCCCAGGACCTTGGCCCTGATCAAGGACTTCACGTCATCACTGTGGCTGCTGCGAGGTTTGCAGCTTCCTTCCACACCTTGGCCCTCTCCTGTCACTGCTTCCCCTGGCCAGCAAAGGTGAGGTGTCAGAAAAGACACTTGAGGGGTCGGGGAGATGGCTTGGTAGAATAAGTCCTTGCCTGGCAAGCTCAAGGGGCTGAGTTAAACCCCAGGTTCTGCAAAAAAAAAAAAAAAAAAAAAAAAAAAAAAAAAAAGATACTTGATTTTTCCTATGCTGGAAGGAACAGCTAAATAACCCCAGGCTAACTGGAGGAGGCTGGGAAGTTTGAACTTGTGTGACTGGAAGCTGTAGACTAGTGCTAGGCTGGGAAGTCCCCTACTAGTCCAGGGAGCTGGGGAGAAGAGGAGGGTGGGGGCACAATTGGAATGGGGAGCAGCCTCCTCTCAGCTTTAGCTAGCTGGGAATAAGCTGAATTGACTGATTTGGTTAGTTTTCAAAACAGTTCCCAAGCCTGGGTATTGAAGTGTGGCCCAGATTGGAAAACTAGGATAAAAGTATGAATGTGAGTGTCCTTCCAGAGTCAGAAGCGTGATGTTTGGCCCTGTATTTATATATGGAAGAGATGTCACATTGGCAACATGTGATGTGCTTGGGATCACCTGCTCTAGGGGCCAAGAACTGGTGGCTGCCTAGCAGGCCTGTGGCTTAGTGGAGCTGGAAGCGAGGCCTGTTCGAGGCGCCTTACAAAGCCTGTGTCATGTATTCTATACTTAGTCAACCAGCCCCACTGTACGCACAGTGATGCCCTGCATAAAAGTTCTCATACAGTTTTATTTTGATAAATAGATCCCAGGACTGAGTGGACAAAAATGTCAGTGTCGGACAGACCCATGATCCCTAAGATGTGGTTAGACCTAGGGAGGAGGGAAGTGAGGTGTAGGCGAGGTGTTGATCGATGAGCCTCCCTTTCCAGATGTGTACACCGAGGCTCAGAGTGGTGGAGTGACTAGTGGAAAGTCACACAGCTGGTAAATGGAAAGTTAGCCTGGGCTCATAGGCAGGCTCCTTTATCACCAGCATGCTGGGCTGGAATCTCCTACAAATGCCTAGATGAACGGACACCCTGCAGCTGGAAGCCCATGTGTTTTCTGTCTACAAGTCCTGGTCCTGTGTCCCTCCCTGTGGCCTCAGCAGAACCAGGATTTAGGAGATGCTGTTTGAAGTCCATTTGCGTGAGAGGGGAGTTGCCATCAATTTTAAAAGGAGGAGCTATTTTTAAAAGTTGAGGCTGGCTTGAGAGTGTCGTTCAGCCCAGCAATCATAGGACATAGCCTTAGCAGCGTGTGATTTAGAAGTGACTCAGTCACTGGTGAGAATAATGCAACATATCTCCACTTTTGGTCTATAAATTGGTAAGCTCAGGTATGATATTAAGTGACTTCAAAGGGTAACTTTATTCCTGGGCCGTGAATAAAAAGATCTTATTTGCGCATAGCAGGCTAAGCATTAGGGCACTGGCTGTTCCAACTTGTACGATGTATTTCTTTATTGGTCCCAAGTATTAGGATCTGATTTCTTTACTGAGACAGTGGCTCCTTTAAAATAAAGCACCAGGACAAAATGACACATGTCTAGATCTGTAGCTCCGCAGTGTGATATGCCATTTAATGCTTAGTGTACCCAGGTTAAATATCCAGAGAGAGCAAGGAAGGTTTTGTGCTAACTTTGGCCGATATAGATTTTTTCAGTATGAAAGCTGAGGAAGGCAGTTGCCCATCACAGCTAGGCTTACAAGATCACAGGTGGCCCTGTTAGGCATGACCCACAGGTGCGTTCCTTCGCCTCCTTCAGAAATTTAGGAGGCTGCTGGAGATCACACACTCTGAGATTTTGGCCATCCAGATGTGCAGAGGAAGGAGCAAGGACTGACAGTGGAGGAAGCGGAGAATGGGGGTGGGGTGCGTTGGGAAGAGACTCATGATCAAGGCTCCAGAAGGAGAAGCAGGCGTGAATCAGCAAGTGGTTAAATTGGAGTAGGCGGCAAGTGGGAAGCTGTTTCTCATCTTTGCAGACTTTGCAGAGATGTGGAAGGAAGGGGAGCCACACCTCTGTCAGCTGCAGCAGCGATCTGCAGCATTCATGCATTGTGCCAGGTCGAGGAGCCCTGGCCGGGTGCATGGGGGCAGCGAGTCAGCGCTCAACACCGTGGCCCAGTGCTCGGATTAGTGGGTGAGGCAGAACTTTTGCAAGTCACAGTTACATAATGCTGCTGACAGGAGGCTAACAGGGGCCTCGGAAAAGTGCAGCGGGAGTCTGATTAGCAACCTGGAGGTTAGAGTACTCTGGGATTGCTTTACCTCCTCTTCCCATGCTAGTGTCTTATGAAAGAGTTAAACCCTGGCCAGTGTTTGGACAGTGCCTGGTACACAGTAAGCAAACTTGCAAACACCCCCTCTTTTGGTATTCGTTAGCTCTGGAGCTCAAATGTAGGAATGGAGGGATGTCTCTGAATTACCTGAAGTTGCATGTCTAATTTTTTATGCATATATGTATCTGTTTTGGCAGAGAGCGTGACCTTTAGCATATAAAATCCTAAGAGCAAGAGCCTCTGGTTGCCTTGGATTCCTGTTCCGGAGGCTGGTGGCTTTCCCTTTGGGCTGTTTCCTCCTCA